ATCTCTGATGACGACCCTCCCAGCAGCGGCACACAAACCTTCGTTCCATCTGAATGGATTGCCTACGGAAAGACATACCCTGCTCTTGAGACACCACCCTTCATCCTTGCTGCACGTCAGGCCGCTCTTACCATCCCCCCGGAATACAACACCCTCATGCCCAACCCCCACACTTCCGTGCTGCATTTGCTCTGCACAGATCTTCCCCCTCTATCGGCACTCACCTCTCAGAAGGCCTCACATGCATTCAGCGAAGATCCTCCAAACGAGACCCTTCGTACACTCTTCAGTGGACGTACATCAGTAAAAATGAATTTCTATAGAGCCGCATGCCACGGCGATGTAGGCTACGTCAGCTCTATAGCACAGGGCGCTAGATATGTAGACATCTGTAGCGCTCAGTAGTCAGCTCGGTTTTTGGGACTGCCTGTTGTGATCGGCAACCCTAGCAAGGCACATTTGTAGCAAGACCTGATACTTTGTAGTTGAAATTGAAGCAGGCAAAGTTTCAAATCTGCCCATTCTCATCGAGCGTAGCAGATGGATTTTGCGAAGTCAGCTCGCACCGGCCCTAAACATGGGCGTCTATACCCTGTTGCTCTGCCCGACGCCCTTGCTTCTGGGTCGTGCCTTGTACAATCCCTTCGCTTGCCTGTGTTCTCTTCTGTTCCTTATTCCTGCTCGCTCCGGGTTTCGTCTCGAACGTGATATGTTTTGCTTAAGTTGGCAAGTTGAAGATCCTTCCCGTAGCCTCCTACCAACTTAGCTGCTCTATGCAAATGACGTGGCATGTCCATCCTCTGTAGGTGTCTCGTATCCTCTCTCATCACCCCCTTTCTTACTACCAATATATGTTGAGCTGTCTCATCTGATATATGAGGGAGGTAGGTATGTCTGAGAGTCTGATATCCGAGAGAGGCAGGTACGTCTTAAGGTCTGCAGAGGTTTTCGACGTCTGTTGGCATCTACAGCAGGTATGTGGTCCTGTACTGGTGCACCCCCTCCCTCCCTGATTTGTAAAAACCACCTTTGCGAATTACACCTATTCAGTACAAATTAGCTCTTAATAGACACAGTGGTTGAATAGTGAAAAATAGTGCAAAATCAAGAGGTCCCCAAAAATAATTGCACTATTTTGCACTATTAATGCAAATTTGTGCAAAGTAGCACTATAGTAGACGGAAATAGTGCTACAGTAGACATTGATAGTAGTGGATAGAGTGGGTCCATAATTTCTGACTAGTGTAGAAATGATTAATATGACCTCAAAACCATCTGTTTATAAGCCCCAGATGCATTTCAAGTGCTGGAAAAAATATTATAAAAAAGTGTCCTCACCCAGTCTTGAACGCTCAACCCCACTTTCAGATAACACTCCTATTCTGAAGGGGTGCTCTATACCACTGCACCACCAGAGGTTACATAGATTTTCTCCACAGGTACCATATATATCCATCACTGCTGGACTTGGGCAAAGTGGTGACACCTCACCTTGAGATTCACCTGCTGAGGCTTGCATATGTGTAATGTCTGGGACTATGTATATAATATGGAGTGTGCTATAGAGTATGCTTCATGGTCTGAATGCTGTGCTGACAGCCTAGTCCTATACATGATAACAAGTTCTATGTTGAGTTGTGCCCTCAAATATAAGTCAGCTATCATGGTGATTTTGCAGCTATAGATGTGTGTAATGCTTGAGTTGAGAACTATGAGCTATAAATAAAGAATTGTCATCTTATTTGAGTCTCCCCTAAATGAGTAGTGCTAAAATAGCGCAAAATAGTACTACAATAGTGCAAAATAGCGAAAATTAGAGGTCCACGTTTGCAGTAGTGCTATAGTAGTATCATGTTGGCACTACATGGCACTATAGAAAAAGCGATAGTGAAGAGTAGTTATAACTAGTACCAAGTATACTAATTAGTGCTTAGTTGCACTACTGAAGAAGTGCGTCTGAATAGTAGCTCTAATGTAGATGTCATCTCTGCTAACACTTGCTAATATAGATGAGATTATCTGAATAGTGATAATTAGTGTCAATTCGCAAAGGCTGTTTTTCCAGATGCTCCATCCCCTCCCATTGGTACGTGTCCAAGCTGTCACCAGCTTCCATCCTGCCACGGTCGTAATTAGTGTGGCATGTTGTAGTTATCATTGGGTGGTTGGGGAAGGAGGGATCTCACTGGCAGTAGTGCCTACACGTCGTCGAATAGCATACTTGAACTGTATCTAGTTTGTTGTCGTGCAAATCAATATATTTTCGTGAATCATTCAAAATTGTCGCTGTTCTCTATTGCAATAAGAAGCCATCTATAGTAGGAATATACGAGCTACGGCGTATCTACATTGACCTACAGAGCTGTGGGCGGGCGCTATGTAGGCCATGTACCCCCGAGGTATGCTACGCGACTATCCCAGCTATGGCGTCTACTTAGCCCGATGTAGCATACTGATTTTTTTCTGATGTAGCGCCGGACATCTAGAGTGCCGTATGCGAGCTCCTCCTTGCGTCCTTACATTATACCTCTATCTACGACCTCTCCTGCATGCTATCCCACACTCGTAGTCAATATCAGCATGGTTACAGCGGTCCCCGACGAAAATCTGCTTTCAGGAGGCCTGATCCAGCGAATCCGGATAATTTTGGACCTCCCGATGGCCTGATCCAGAGTCCGGCCAAATTTGAGCGAAAATCAGGAGGCCTGGTCAAATCCGGACGAATTTGGCCTCAGACAAGGCCTGATCCGTCGGACAATTTTGGCCGGATTCAAGGATTTTGGATCATACATTTGGGCCTATTGCCGGGGGTCCTTCATGGCTTCGGTCATGACTGCGGTCAAAACAACGCTGGATAAATCCGAGTTGCAGATTAGCCCCTGTAACAGGCAGGAACGCGCGCTTAGTTAGGCGACCCGTCGCAGCATGCGTCAACATCGAAGCCTCCTCTCCCTACTGCCATCTCCTCCTTATTTTTTCGGGGCGTCGACGCGCTCCTTAATCTGCCAGTGTTCTTCAGCGATGCAGGAGCCCACTCACACCAAACGCGCAACAGCCTCCAGGAAGGGCAAGGAGAGAGAGGGCGCACAACCGGATATTGCAGACAGGATTATCGCCCTCAGGGGCAAGCAAGCGTATGCTCCACTCCTACTCGTCATATCCCAACATACTCACCTTCTCCACGCACCTCAGTACCGCGCCTGACCCGCTGATTCTACAGCTCCTAAGAGTCTGACGCTCTATCCGATTGAGCTAGGCGGGCGATTCCATGAACCGTATGTAATCATTTCTATGCCTGTAGAGGTCTCATCCAGGGCGAGGAAAAGTAAGCTCCAGTCGATGTTAGCGGAGAAAGGCCGTTTCCCTCTCCCTCATTGACTGCCTAGCACTCCATGAACGAAAATACAGTCGAGATCAGATGGCCAATCCCGGTCGGGACTTCCCAAGATGGAGTGCATCTCAAATGCTGTTGGGTAAGTGGTCAAATATAACCGATAATGCAACCCTTGTCTGCGTTCCCCCTGTGGGTAATGAAGTATTTTGATGAGAGCCGAGGGAGAAATCACCTAGGCCACTTTCACGTCGCTCGAGATACAATTGCCAGGGTGAGGTATGCGCGCGGAGAGCTTGCCACCTTCCTGGAGTGGCGATGATCATAGGTGTCAATGGAAACCACCATGCGGACGTTACGCCGGGTGCGGGGACCTCTTGCGCACTCGCTCGGGAAGAAGTGGAGTGCGATCCTGGGCAATCTCACCTCCACGAGTTCGAGCCTGTGTTTCGTGGCCCGGGCTCTGACAAATATAGCCTAGTGTATAGGAGCTAGGAAGAAACCGACGACCTTGCGTGCGCCGAACTGGCCCTTTGGAGGGCGGAATCCAGCCATGTCGGCCTGCCATCCCGTCCCTGGTCCATTTCGAGACATCGGCCGGTCATACAACGAGCTCGGGGACACTTGCACCGTCATGCTCAAGCAACTTGAGGACTTCAGCGAGCATAACGAGTCGTGGGATGTTATGAGCAAAGGCTGACGCAGCTATGTCCTGCGGAGCTGGGCCAGCATTCGGCCGTTGCGGAGCGCAAGACTGGGGAGAGAGTGAAGCGCGGCGATGGCACGACCGAAGGCGCTGAACGAGGGCAAGAAGACGTTTCTGAATGTCAGCACACGGATAGCGGGGAGTTGCGACAGAGCGGTGATGAGGACACGACGGGACGGGCTCGGTAGATAACCTGCAAACTCGCGGACGAAACGCGAAGTAGTTCCCAGGGAACGCGCGGCCATGTAAACCGGGGTTGAGATGCAGATCCTCTACTATTGGAGCGAGGTTATAGTTCCGCCAGATGTGTACAAGGTTACGCACCAAGGAGCAGTCGAGGATAATCCGAGATCGCAAAGAGATGATATCGACTGGCACGCTAGCGACGAGACTCTGAGGGCGGAGCGACACGGGGATGATGGTAACGGAGTAGAGACCTCGAAGATCAGCTCTGGTGAAATAGAAGCAGGCATGACTGCGAAGAGGGTGTCCTGTAGAATCCACAGAGTCAAGCTAGCAGTCAAAGTAACATTCATTCGGTGCGATATGAAGTGAAACTCCCCGGGGACCTAGGGACCTAGTGGTGCCTGCAAGACATGTCCATTGCCGTTACTTACGAGTAAGTAGATGTAGCTAAGCGCATCTGACTCCCATCACCCTCCTAAGTGCACCAATATGTCGCCGACAGCAGTTCAGTTCCAGCAGCTATTGATATCGTGTGTCGGAGGTGTTCACGCGCACGGTTCGACGTTGTCAAGTCACGCCGCGCAGTGATACCGCGGCCGATAAATGGTTTATCCGATAGCCCCGACGCAGGGCCGGCTCACTGACTACATACAAGTTCACAACAACATACACTAACCTCCACCTCAGCATCCCCTGCGGACGCCCCAGCAGTGTCCCAGCCGACCTGCATAGCGAGCCCTGCACCTCACGCGCGAACCATAGCCAGCCACAGCCAGCATGCCCCCGCCCACCCCGACCGCGCCCCAGTCCTTCCTCCAAATCCTCGTCAACTGCGACAACTTCCGCCTCCCACCCCCCACCGCCAAGTCCACAGAGCCCCTCGTCCCCTGGCTCCTCTTCCCCTCCCCCACCTCCCCCGCCGTCGGCCTCCTCCGCCCAGAGATCGTCGCCCAGCTCCACACCGAGAACGCGTCCTCTCCGTGTCCCTCGTGGCACTTCTCCGACACCGCGCTCGAACAGGGCAC